TTTGTAAAATTGTAAAATGTTAGTTTAATTAGTGTAATTATAACTTTATTTGTCAAGTGTTAGAAATTTAGTGAGTTTAAATAATAATAATTGATATGTTTGTATTTTATTTGATTATTTTTTATAACATTAATTTGTTGGCTACTTGATTATTGTAAAATTTTATTTGATTTTTTGATAATTAATTTATGAATATGATTGTTAGAATTTGTAAAAATTGTAAATTGGTATTTAAATAGTATAATTGTAACTTTATTTGTTAAAAATTTGGTAATCGCATATTTTATCTTACATATTTATCAAAATTTGATGATATTAGGAGTTAAAAGCCAAAATAAATCATGTACTTGAGCGCATATTTATTTTGTATAACATTATTGGAATGATATTTTAAATAGTTTTTGTTTGGTTTTATGTGTGTTTGGTATTAATGTGACAAAAAAATTTTGTTGTGGTCTAATGAAAAATCGGTCATCCCTTTATTCAGATTCTGGTTTCGCCATTGGGTGTATTTTGTATTTATTTATTTTTTACTATGTATTATATATTTAAAAAAATTATGCCCTCGCTCACTTTGTGACCTAGATCTGCCACTGGGTGCTGGTTCTCGGAACTGGCAACCTACGGTTTGGGACCGGAACAACGGCCCGGGCCGGGACTATTTCTAGGCCTAAGTTGCCAACTTTAAATTAAAAAAGAAAAAGGGGAAAAAGTAAAATTATCTTCACGTGAAATCTTAGCCTACGTTCATATGGTGCCCGTGGCTTCCAAAGGAAACCTGTGAAATTGAAGCTTTAATTTTGGGAAAGAAATCCATACATTTGATAATAAATCACATCTTATGTCTACAAAAATAAATACAATACAAATTTAATGTTATAACTCGTCAAATTTTCACGCACATATTTGTAGTGCATATATATGCATATGAATGAACAATTTTGTTAAGAACTAAAATTCATGTAGGGCCACTTTGATTTTTTGTTTATATTCCTCACATGTGGTTTTGCATGCGCATGGATGCATGTAGGCCCTGATATCCCCCCAAAAAAAAAATTCCCAAAAAATCAAATATTGTATAAAGTTCAAGAAAATGTTACGGTCCCGTTACGGAACCATTCTGTCAGGGTTTATAACCGTTAGATCATCATGTAACCGTCGAGGATATTTGATCTAACTGTGAAAAAATCCGACGAAATAGTTCCTTAACGGGACCATAACATCTCCTTAAAGTTCAACTTTAATTTGCTTAATTTATTAATTTTATATATGTTGAATATAATATATATATATATATATGTGCATGAAAAGTGGTGGGGAGAAAAGAAAACGACCGCCTTCCAACTCTTGTGATTGAAAATGTTAATACCATCAGATACAAATAATAATATAGAATCAACATTATTATATATTACTGTTTTAAAAATGTATTCTCACTCTTCTATATATAAAAATTGTACGTATCAATATTTTTTTTTTTTTTGAACAATAATTAGGTTATTGTTTTTTTGGCACATAAGTAACAATGTACAAGAAAAGTTAATTAGAATTAATGTCCAAATTTCCAAGTAGATAAATTGGCAAACTATGATTATGTAGTTTGTAAGATTTTGCTTATGGTTAGATTAATTGCCTTGCACCTAATTATTAACCTAAAGAAATGGATA